GATGGAGGAGCCCAAGTCGCCGCAGGTGCCGAAGGGGCCGCGGCTGCCGTACCTGCAAGCTTGGCAACCTGTTCAGCTGCCTGCCGTTGTAGCTCCTCAACTCTGGCCTGAGCTTCGTCAGCAGCAGCCTTGAACTTGTCAGTTTCCTGCTGCAGCTTACACTGAATCTTCTTGAGCTCCTCCTCCTTCTGCGAAGCCTTCTCACGCCAGCTGGCCACCGAGGCCTTGGCACGCGTGAGCTTCTGAGTGATGGAGAGCTGCTGGAGCTCGGGAGACCGTGCCTGCGTGATCTTCTCCTGCAGCCTCGCGATCTCCTCCAAAGCGAACTTCTTAGCTGCTTCCGACGAGGACTTGCTCTGGGCCACCCTGCGAAACGTCTCCAGGGACAGCCTGGCATCCTCCAGCGCCTTGGCCTCAGGGTCCTCCTCGTCAGCGGCTGCAGCCGGCTGCGGCTGCTTCGTGGTCGTCGTGGGCTGGAGCAGGGCGAGCTGCTTCTTGATGTCGGCGAGCTGCTTGGCCAGGCCCTTCTCGCCGTCCTTGCTGGAGCCGTTGGCGCCGCCACCGCGGGGCCACTGTTGCTCCTGGCCGCCTCCCCTGCCCGCGACAATCTTCTCGTGCTCAGCCTTGGCGGCCTTCGCGATCCTCTCAGGGGCCTTGGCGCCACAGCGGCAGACGAGCCGCGACGCCCAGTTCCCGTCCCTGCCGCAGCGCCCGCATCCCCACGGGGGGGAGCGTGGGCCGAGGAGCACATCCTTGCGGGCATTGCTCCCCATGCCACGAGCGTGGTGAGAGAAACGGGCGGCCCGTGCGCCCCTGAGGTGCGGGCAAAGAAACTGATCGGGCTCAAGAGCCCTCGCACTGCCGCGGACTAGCGGTATCCGTGAAAGCCAATGCGGGCTCAGCCCGCAACAGCACAGCCTTGAGCCAAAATGGCTACGGAGAGGAGGAGGAGGAGGGGGAGGAGGCGGAGGGAGGAGGATGGAGGAGGAGGAGGAGGAGGAAGGGGAAGGAGGGAGAGGAGGAGGAGGCGGAGGAGGAGGCGGAGGGCAGGCAGGCAGGGCAGGCGCGGGGGGTCGAAGGTCCGCTCTATTAAAGGCTAGGCATCGTGGGGACCCCTGCGGGAGCTGGGGGAAATCCAGCCCTTCCGTTGGGAGCGGGGCCAGCCTGGGGCGACCCCACCGTCGGGTTTGCCGTTTGCATTCCGAGGTGGGTGGCCCAGTATTGGCGCTGAGGCACGTAGCCTCGAGTGAGGAGGAGGAAAGGAGGAAGAGGGAGGGAGGAGGAGGAAGGGAGGGAAGAGGAGGAGGAGGAGGAGGCAGAGGAGGAGCGAAGGGCGGGAGGGGGGAGGAGGGAGGAGGAAGGAGGAGGGAAGAGGAGCGAGGGAGGAGGAAGAGGAGGAGGAGGAGAGAGGAGGAGGCGGAGGAGGAGGCGGAGGCAGGCAGGCAGGCAGGCGCCGGGGGGTCGAAGTCCGCTAAAGGCCTAGCGCACTCGTGGGACCCCTGCGGGGAGCTGGGAGCCAGCCCTTCACGTTGGAGCGGGCCAGCCTGGCGACCCACCGCGGGTGCCGTTGCATCCGAGGTGGGTGGCCATATGGCGCTGAGGCACGTAGTCTCGTCGTGAGGAGGAGGAGGAGGAGGAGGAGGAGGAGGAGGAGGCGGAGGAGGAGGAGGCGGAGGAGGAGGAGGAGGCGGAGGAGGAGGGAGGGCGAGGAGGAAGGAGTCGGAGGAGGAGGAGGAGGGGAGGGAGGAGGAAAGGGAAAGAACGGAGGAGGAGGGGAGAAGGCGGAGGAGGAGGAGGCGGAGGCAGGCAGGCAGGCAGGCGCCAGGGGGTCGAAGTCCGCTAAAGGCCTAGCGCACTCGTGGGACCCCTGCGGGGAGCTGGGAGCCAGCCCTTCACGTTGGAGCGGACCAGCCTGGCGACCCACCGCTGGTGCCGTTGCATCCGAGGTGGGTGGCCATATGGCGCTGAGGCACGTAGCCTCGACGTGAGGAGGAGGAGGAGGAGGCGGAGGAGGAGGGGAGGCGGAGAAGGAGGAGGAGAGAAGGAGGCGGAGGAGGGAGGAGGCGGGGGAGGCGGAGGAGGAGGAGGCAAGAGGAAGAGGAGGCGGAAGGAGGAGGCGGAGGCGGCAGGCAGGCAGGCAGGCGCCGGGGGTCGAAGTCCGCTAAAGGCCTAGCGCACTCGTGGGACCCCTGCGGGGAGCTGGGAGCCAGCCCTTCACGTTGGAGCGGACCAGCCTGGCCGACCCACCGCGGGTGCAGTTGCATCCGAGGTGGGTTGGGCCATATGGCGGCTGAGGCACGTAGCCTCGTCGTGGGGGGACGGGAGGAGGAGGAGGAGGAGGAGGAGGAGGAGGAGGGAGGAGGAGGAGGAGGAAGGAGGGAGCGGAGGAGGCGGAGGCGGGAGGAGGAGGAGGAGGGAGGAGGCGGAGGAGGAGGAGGGGAGGAGGAGGAGGAGGAGGAGGAGGAGGAGAAGGAGGAGGGTGGGTCGCCTAAGCCCTTTGGAGAAACCCTCCACCGCGAGCCTGTCTGTGGATTCCTCGGCGGCGGCGGGCCGCCGGGGGGAGGTGCGAGGGAGCAGAGGCCTCCTCGGGAGGCGGCGGGGCTCCTCAGAAGCCCTCGCGCCTATCGAGAATCAGGGGGCGCGCAAGCAGGGTTTGGCGATCCCTGGATCTGGTGCGCGGTCGCCAAACCTCCCCAGAATGCGGCCGGTGCCGCCTCCGGCGGCGGCACTCCGCGATTGCTCATGAAAGCGGGACCCGTTTTGCGATCGCCTGAGCAAGGCCCGAGGCCTCCCGAGCCTCCTTGATTTAGGGTTGCGATCGCCTGGGCAAGGCCCGAGGCCTCCCGAGCCTTCTGAGAAGGCCCGCCCCCTCTCGCTTCCCTCCCTGGGCTCGCCCTCAAGTCATGATCCCCCCCATCGCAGGGCTCCAGGATGGCACGGGCCAGTCGTGGTGGTGTCTTTGATCCCAGACCTCCTCGCGCTGTGATAAAAAAGCACACGACGGGAAGTTTTTCGCCATTTTCAGCCTCCGGAAGCCCTTCCTGGGCCTCGGGACCGTCAAACAAGCACTCAGGATGAAAAGCCGGTCCCGAGGAAGGGGTCCAGACCTCTGGGGGTCGACGGTATGAAAAGATCACGACGTCGGGGGTCTGGGATGGCGCCTGCGCTTGAAAGTGCCTCCTGCGAGCATGGCCGCCCAGGGCTTCCGCGCACGAGGCGCGCCTGGGCCCCCTCTGGGCTCGAGCTACGACCCCCCCCCATCGCAAGGAGCCGGGATGGCACGGACCAGTCGTAGTGGTGCCTTTGATTGCGCTTGAGTTTGAACTGCCCTCTGGGAGCGTGGGCGCCCAGGGCTTCCGCACACAAGGCGCGCTGCGAGGCGCCGCGGCCCGGGGGCGGCCGAGCCCCGTCGCGGCAACGGTGGTGCACGGCATGGCCTACCCTCCGCTGACGCCCTGGCCTGCAGCGGGTCAGTGTCGTGACGACCTGCGCGCCGATGTCAGACACCGAGAGGGTCGCTCAATTCTGAACGATCGGCGGCGCCCAACGCATTGACAAAAATCAAGACGGAGGACGACTCAGGATGAAAAACTGGTCCTGGGGAACGGGTCGAGACTTCTGGGGACCCCGCATTGAAACATTTTTTTGATTCGCGGGTCGAGAGCGCACCTCTTCCGGTCGAAGCTAAGCGGGCCGCGCGAAGCTTGAATTCATCATGGCAGGGGGAGGAAAAGGGGGGGGCGCAGCCTCAGAACGAGGCCGAACCGCATTGAAAAAAACACGACAACGGATCTCAGGGCTAGACCACTTCAGCGCCACATCGTTCCCTACTGTTCCATGCTGGCCGCTGCAGTGCGACCGGCGGCGTCCGGCCTGGAACGCCCGCGCTGGTGGGGCCGTCGCCGCGCCACCTCTACACGAACCTGCCGCAGGCGCGCAGGAGGCGCGCGGGAGCGCCGTGGTCCGAGGACAGCAGATCCTGCGTCGTGAACATTGACGAACCAACAACGCACACCCATACCCATAGGGGGATCGGAGCGGGCTATGGGTGCGTGTTGTCGGATGGGGGCCCCCGCTCGAACGGGAGCGCTCCCCAGGGCCCGGCAAAAGCGCACCCAGACCCATAGCCAGTCCTCCTCCCAACGACCCCCCTATGGGTATGGGTGCGTGTTGTCCGTTCGTCAAACATAGAATGCAGCGCTGTGAAAAACCACGGCCGGAGCCCAGGGCACCACATCTCTCTGGGGCACTTCCCGAGCCGAATCGATCCGTGAAAACCCGTGGGGCCCGACACGGAGAGAAAACCGCCTGGCGTTGGAGAACACGCCGCCAAGAATTGGGGCAGACGAGCATAATACATCGGTGCAGACGTTCGGACTTCCGCACGGACTGCCCGGGTCGGCGCCGAACCCCCTGCCTCGCACGCGGAGCTGGCCAGGGGCGGCGCTGGAGGAGGCACCGCCTGGGAAGTCCGGGGCCGATCCAGGAAGAATCCGCGCGCACCTCCGACTGTGTATGTTTAGGCCGCTGTTGCTTCCCCGAAAAATCTCCAGGGACGTGGCAGCACCGACTCGGCACATCGAATCAGACCAGAATGTGCGCCGGAGCGGGCCGCATCGGCACGGAGTCGGAACCTAATCTGAAAGGCTGCGCCAGGCTGCGCAACGGCGCCATGCGATCATCGGGCCACATCAGATCGTCGGAATACCGGAATCGAATCGAATCGGATCGGGCCGGCCAAAACGGATACCGACTCGCGGACCGTTCGGATCGACATGGGCCCTGCGCGGGTACCATGGGCCTCCGCGCGCGAGGCGGGCGGGGGGCGGCCCGAAAAGCCTCTGTGTGAGGACCTCCAGGACGGCCCGAAAGTACCAACGCTAGCGGTTGCTCATTCTCGGCCGCCCGTCAACCGTCCGACGGCCCGAGAAGCCGCCAGCTGGCCCCAAGAAGGACCGCGAGAACCCTGCGGCCCGAGGACGGCCCGCTGGGCGCCGCGCATCAGCGCGCTGCGGTCCCCCAAGCCGCCCCATGCGCCCTGCGCCTCCTTCAGGTTCTTCGCCGCCCGCGCCACCTCTCGGAGGCGGATATGGGTTAGGTCGGGTCTGTCCTCCTACCAGCGGACCTTGCAAGAAAAACGAACAACATGGAGTGTATATAAATGTATGTATATATACATATATATATACACACAACAAGACTGCATTGGCCCAGGCATTGGCGCTTCGCGCTATGCGCCTTGTTCCGGACGCTTCCCCGGCAAAGCAATAATTCATCGTTTGCTTCAGCGGGGGGGCCTCGAGGCCTGGACGGGCGATCGGCTCATTTTTCTGATATCCCTGGTGCCTGCTGATACCGCGTTCGCCCGATGCGCTTGCACTCTTGTGCGCAGGACTGGGGGAGGAATGATGCTTGTTTCACGCGCGAAGGTGCTGGCAAACGACGAAGCACCAAACTGTTGCGATGGCACCTGTCCATGAACGGGGAACGGGAAGGGAGCAGGGATGAGGGGGGGCTGAAAAGACGGAAAGGGGGGAGGAGGGGGGAGGAACGGGGAGAAGGTCCAGAGGAAGGAGGAGGCGAATGAGTATGGCCATCGGATGCCACGAACATGGAGGTCGACGGAGAAGGCAGAAAGGGGGAAGGAAGAGAGAGAAAGATAGAGAGAGAGAGAGAGCAGAGAGAGAGAGAGAGAGAGAGAGACGGTGATAGAGGTACGGGAAAGACAGGCGGGCTGGCGTGATCGCAACGAGCGCACGGAGAACGCCGTCTGGGCGTTTTGGGGGCTCTTTTGGGCCGTCCTGGGGCCCTCTTGGGCTGTCCCGGGGCCTTCTTGGGGAGCTGGGGTCCTCCAAAGGTTTTCTGAAGCCATCAAGGCCCTCATGGGGGCCTCCAATGGCATTCTGGGGGGTCTCCCATGGTTTTCGTGGGTCTCTCTTGGAAGCCTTCTGGGGGCATCTTGGGTTTCTTGTGGGCAGTCTCGGGGCTCTCTGGGGCAATCTTGGGGCCCTTTTGGGCAGTCTTCAAACCCTCTGGGGGGCCGTCTTGGACCGTCTTGGGGCGATATCGGGGACCCACCGGGCCGTCTTGGACGCTGCGAAGACCCCAAAAGCGGAGATGCTAAAAATAGACAGTTGCCCAAGGGAATGGGGCGAATGTTGCTTCTTCAGGGTTCTCTTCTTAACGGCCTCTTGGGGCGTTTGGAGGGGCCTCGTGGGCTGTCTTGGGACCATCCAGGTTCTTCCTGGAGCGCTCTTGTGCTGTCTTGGGTCTCTCTTGCGCCTCTCCGATGACCCCTGACAGCTTTGAGTCTGCTCGCAAGGCCCGGCACGGCGCCCTGGGAGGCCCAGAAGGGCCAGCGGACCCTTCCCAAGGGCGGCCCAGGGGCCACAGAGACGTCCAAAAGGGCGTCCTTGAGGGGGGGTCCGGTTTAGGGTGGTGGTGGTGGGGCGGGGGTCCGGGTAATAAAAATATTGGAATAGGAATCAGAAAGACATCAAAGATAGTCGAAACCTCGTCCCCAGATTATTTTGCAATTATTTCTGAATATTCCTGCTGTAGAGGGACATGCCCGACTTAAGACTACGGCGGTGCCGGTGCCGCTGCGCCCTGCCCCCTGCCCCCTGGGGCCACTCCCCGTCCCTCCGCGCGCCGTGGCGGAGCACCACACACACACACTCACACACATACACACACCACACACACACACACACACACACACACACACACACACACACACACACACACACACCACACACGCACGCGCACGCACGCACGCACGCACGCACGCACGCCCGAGCACGCACGCACGCAAGCACGCACGCACGCACGGACGCACGCACGCACGCACGCACGCACGCACGCACGCACGCACGCACTCTCTCTCTCTCTCTCTCTCACACACACACACACGCGCGCACGCACGCACGCAAGCACGCACACACGCACGCACGCGCGCACGCACGCACGCACGCACGCACGCACGCACGCACGCACGCACGCACGCACGCACGCACGCACGCACGCACGCACGCACGCAAGCACACACACACACACACACACACACACACACACACAACACACACAACACACAACACAACACACACAACACACACACACAACACACAACACACAACACCCAACGCACAACGCACAACGCACAACACACAACACACAACACACAACACAACACACACACACACACACACATCACGCGGGAACAGTTCTTCGTGCTGTGCCGTGCCCCTGGGCCCCTGCGGGGCCCCCCGGGGGCGTCAACAGACACGGCGTGGGATGCGAAACTGGCCCCGGCGGGGGAGGGGCCGAGACTTCGGTCGAGCAGGGCCTCCTACAGGCTGACGCGGGAAGGAAAATATCCAATAGTCAAAGATATCAAAACAGAGTCAAAACATATGCAAACATCGTCCCCAGACGATTTGTTTGACCAGGTTTGAGCTTTCCTCCTGTAGAGGGGCCTGCCTGACGTAAGCCTAGACCTCAAGGGGCCCAAGTCGTGCAGAGGCGCATCCTCAGGTCTCCTCCTCCTCCTCCTCCTCCTCCTCCTCCTCCTCCTCCTCCTCCTCCCCCTCCCCCTCCTCCTCCTCCTCCCCCTCCTCCTCCTCCTCCTCCTCTCCCGCCACCCCACTCTCCCCCTCCTCATCCCTCCTCCTCCTCCTCCTCCTCCTCCTCCTCCTCCTCCTCCTCCTCCTCCTCCTCCTCCTACTCCTATCCTTATTCCTTATTAGAATATACTCCTACTCCCCCCTCAGGCCGGCAGATAGGGGCCGCATCCGGGTGGTCCCATCCTAACCTGTAAAAAACAATACAAAATCAACATTTTTCTTATTTTTTCCTCTCGACATGGACGTCCTGTCGTCCACGGCGATAATCCATTGCAAAAAATACCACAAAGAGCACACGCGCGCGTTCATGTCAGAATCCTACCGAACACCGTGTGTTTGCAAGCATTTCAACATAAAAGCATCAAAAACCAAATGCTTTTTCACACAAATTCTACAAATTTCCTGCCTGGGCTCTCTTGCTGAAATCATAAGAAAACCAAAGGAATCTTGAGAATTCGGTCAAATCCAGCGATTTCACGTCATCGCGCGGTGCAATCGCGATGCTCTGTCATGCACCCAGGCCGCGAATCCTGTGCAAAAAATACCACGCGGGCGAATTGCGCGCGCGCGTCGCCGCGAGCACATGCTCAAATCCTTCTAGAGTCGTCGCCGTCATTGGCACCGTCGCATGGACGTCCTGTCGTCCACGTCGCAAAATGCATGGCAGGAATGGGACCCGGCTTACCGGGCCGTTCTCGACACGGCCACCTCTGGCTTCCTGCGGTGTACCGGGCCATTCTCGACTCGTCTGGCAATGCGTGCGCGGCATTCAACACGCGCTCGCCAGTTCCCGTCGGCAACCGCCATCGCGGCCGCATCAGCTGTACCAAACCGGCTGGCCGGTGTGACTTCGGCCCCCAGTTGTGCCAGCTTTGCTTCTTATGTTGTGGGAGGGCGGGTGGGACTGGGCATGCCATGCTTGACTCGCTCGAGCTGGCTAGCTTGACTCCTACTCCTACTCCTCCCCTCCTCCTCCTCCTCCTCCTCCTCCTCCTCCTCCTCCTCCTCCTCCACGTCGAAGGCCTGGGCCTCTCGGGCCTCCCCCGCAGCGTGCGCGCTCGGGCCAGGGCCGTCTCGAGGCGGGCGTCCGACCGCGACGGCGAGGGTCCGCCCCCCCTGGGGAGCAACCCCGCGGGGGAGGGCCCGAGGCGAGGAGGAGGGGGCGCCGACACCTCGAAGGCGCACCGACATCCGCCGATCGTTATGTATATACATACACACATGCATAAACATGTCTACATGTATCACTTATCTGTAGAACAATGTTGCTGCGGGTAATACGAATCGTGTGTAATCACGATTCGATTGGTACTGGCCTAAAGGTACGACTGGTAAGGATACACACCACAACCATAATGACACGAGCAACAATACAAGAAGTAAGCACACGAATGAAAGTACGTATGACAATACTAAAGATATGATTACTGATGCTGGCGATCTTTTTATCAATACTGACAAGACTACTAGCACGAGTCGTACTAAGAGTTCCGATGCGAGTACTATCAATACTACCACTACTGGTATCAACACGAATCACGGTAACAAAGGACAATCATATCAATAAGACGAGTAATAGCAATAACAACTATACATACAATTGCGGCCCCAGAGCACCCCTGGGGTAACTTTGCGTTCTGGATCCGTTCTTGGTGGCCCTGGAGACCTATAGCGAGCCCCAGAGGCCGAAAACGAGAAACATCTGAACACAACACAACTCTGGTAGCCGAGCGCGTTTTGCAACATAACTGCTCGCAAATGGCTTGGATCCGCCGCCAGGGATGTACGATCTACGACAGAGGAAGACATCTATTCTTCAGACGTTTGCGAGTAGAATCTTTGCGAGTAGTGGAACGCACTCGGCGATCTGGGACTGACACGACAACACAAACATGCCGTCGGAGATCTGGGTAAGAGTCTTTTCGGCACAAACGAACTGGGTGCGGGAATCAGGGGTACAATGCCCAACAGCAATTCCTGCACGTTCTGAACAGGACTCGCTGTCCGCGCCGCCGCGGTCTGTGCCCGTGTGAGACAGAAGGCCGCCAGTCCGACAGCGGCCGCTGATGGTTTGGGACAGCATCTGTTCTTGGGCATTGTACCCATTTTTCCGTACCCATTTCGGGCGTTGGTAGAACTGGGTTTAGTGGAACCTGGTTTAGTGATCTGTACCGGGGGCGCCCCCCCGTCCCATTTCCACTAACCGGAACTGCCGTCACCCGAAAAAACACCACCTATGGCAAACCTGGTTTACTGATTCTGGCCAATTCGAGGGCTCCGGAGCCCTACCACGAACTGGGTCCCCTTTACCCGGGGTCCTGGCCATACCCGACCATTTCGGGCGTCCAAAGCTTTGCTCGTCTCCCCGCGGGGCCTCCTCACCGACCCGGGTGCCGGCCCGGAGGTCGGCGGCTTCCCTCTCGCCCTGCAGCGCCCGCTGGTGCACCGTCAGGGCGGCGGCCTCGCCCCGCCGGTCGCCCAGCTGCTGGAACCGCTCGGCGGCCAGCGTGGCGGCCTGCGACGCCTTGCGCCACGGGCCCTCGTCCCCCCGCTCCTTTAGGAGGCAGCTTCTGGGAGGTTTTCGCAGGACAGATGAAAAAAGATTACGCCCCATTGGGGGGCTGCTGTGCCCGAGTGGGCCTCTGATTATAAGCCGGATGAAACGGGATATAAGCCGGACTGAGCTGGATTGAGCCGGATGCAGCCGGACTTCGGGCCAGGGCCCAGGCAGAAGTTGACCTCCCAGGAGCTGCATCCGAAGCTCCTGGAGGACGCAGCACACACACGCGCTGCACAGGCCGGGCAAAAACCTTCGGCGCTCCGCGCGGGCCTCTCGTGGATCTGCGCTCTGGCCCCCCCGGGGGCGGCGCCTCCGTCGCGGCCCCGCGCGCGCTCCGCGCGCGCACGGGAAGAGGGTCAGGGTCGGGCGTTTCCTCCTACAGGCGGGCGTTGGACGAAAATGCAGAAGCACAACATAATAGCAAACATGTTGTTTGCTGTTTTTCTGTTTCTTTGTTGCTTCTTTTAAAACTATGTTTACCTAACAGCTTTTGCTGATAGGTTTCTAGTGGTCTCAAAAGAGAGCATCATGACTCCTCAGGGGGGTCGGGGCGGGACCCGGGGCGGCTGCCGTCGAAGCCCAAATCGCCTGGGACATCCTCGCAAAATCGCTCTTGGCGCTGCTAGAACTCCATTCCCGGCGTACATTTTGGATGCCCGGAGCCAACTGTAGGCCACTTCGTGGTCTTCGAGTTCCCAGAACTCCATTCCCGGGCCACATTTTGGATGCCCGGAGCCAACTGTAGGCCACTTCGTGGTCTTCGAGTTCCCAGAACTCCATTCCCGGGCCACATTTTGGATGCCCGGAGCCAACTGTAGGCCACTTCGTGGTCTTCGAGTTCCCAGAACTCCATTCCCGGGCCACATTTTGAATGCCCGGAGCCAACTGTAGGCCACTTCGTGGTCTTCGAGTTCCCAGAACTCCATTCCTGGGCATGATTTTGAATGCCCGGAGCCAACTGTAGGCCACTTCGTGTTCTTCTAGTTCCCAGAACTCCATTCCTGGGCCACATTTTGAATGCTGAGGCAGGCTGATGCTGCGGCTGAGGCAGGCTGAGGCTGAGGCAGGCTGAGGCTGAGGCCGAGGCTGAAGGCAGACTGAGGCTGAGGCAGGCTGAGGCTGAGGCTGAGGCAGGCTGAGGCTGAGGCTGAGGCAGGCTGAGGCAGGCTGAGGCTGAGGCTGAGGCTGATGCAGGCTGAGGCTGAGGCAGGCTGAGGCTGAGGCCGAGGCTGAAGGCAGACTGAGGCTGAGGCTGAAGCAGGCCGAGGCTGAGGCTGAGGCAGGCTGAGGCTGAGGCAGGCTGAGGCTGAGGCTGAGGCAGGCTGAGGCTGAGGCTGTGACTGCGACTGCCGTTGCCACTGCGACTGTCATCGCGAATGCGACTACGACTGCGAGAACAGCAGAATTCTACAACTGGATTCTCATCTGAATCTTAAGGGGAAATCTTCCAGATATGCTCCTACACATCGCTGTTAGGTTGCTTTGCCGGGATAATTTCTTTTAGAGCACAAAAAACATCACACACACTCGTCTCCGTACTATTCTTTGACTAGCTCTGCATCTCCCCCTCTGCAGAGGGACAGGCCCGCGACGTCAGGAGCAGAGGGCCCCCAGCGCCGACCCAGGACGGACCTCCGCGCGGAGCTCCGAGGGCTGCTGCCCCCTCCACGGGCAGCTGCTTTTCTCGGCGCCCCGCGCTCCGCCGCGCCCTGGGCGGCCTGGGCCCGGGCCAGCTGCAGCAGCGCGGCCGCCTCCTGCGGCCCGTCCTCCGGGCCGGGGCGAAAGGGAGGAGGAGGAGGAGGAGGAGGAGGAGGAGGAGGAGGAGGAGGAGGAGGAGGAGGAGGAGGAGGAGGGGAGCAAAAAGTTCCATAAACATAATTAAAAACTCGGAGGTCCGCGCGGATTTCTCTGATCGGCGCGGCCCTCCGAGTTTTTATGTTTATGTCACTCGTTGTTCCCCTAAGCAAAGGGGGGGGGTGAGAATCCGGCGCCTCCCGGCGCCGGAGGCGGCCATGTGTATCGATGACTGGGCCCCTCGGTGGGGCCGAACCCAGCTGCACGCAGCAGATTTCGTAACCCCCCCTTTCCCAATCCCCCCGTTTCGTCCGGCCCGAGTCCTCCAGCACCCGCGCCAGCGCCCTGGCGCCCTCCGCGGCCTTCACGCCCTGCCGGAGGTCCCCCGTCATGACGTGCGCCCTGGAGGCCGCCTGCAGCGCCAGGCACTCGCCGCCCCGCGCGCCCTCGCGGCGGAAGAGGGTCAGGCCGAAGCTGGCGGCCGCCATGGCCTTCTCGCCCTGGCGGGCCGCGAGGTGCACCAGGGCCGCGGTCAGCTGCCCGAAGGCCTCGCCCTGCCGGTGGCCCAGGCCGCGGAAGTGCGCCGCCGCCTGCGTCGCCAGCCTCAGGGCCTCCTCGGGGCGCTGCTCGTGGATGTCGTAGCCCGAGATCGAGCGCAGCACCTCGCGCGAGGGGAGAGCTCATTCGCTGCCCGGGTCCGCGGCCTCTCGCGGGCTGGACACCTCCCTGCCCTCGACCCAGTGGCTGCAGCTACGCAGCCTATGCGCTGACGCCCCCCGCGCGCAGCGCATCGATAGCACCGAGCAGCCATGGGACCGTGCCTCGGCATCAAGGCGGCGAGGGCACGGGCCCATACATCCGACAGCGTGGTCTTTTTTGATTGGCCCACGAGGGGGTCCAACTGAAAGGGGGTGGTGCAATATGTTTGGGGTAATTGTTTTGCATATGTACTGCGCCGGTTAATTGTATTGCTTCGTTCTGCAACTCACGCACTGCACGCGAATTTCCCGCAAGCCATCTGCGCAGCGGAATGTACTGCACGCCCCAAATCTACACGTCGTTCATTTCTAATCATGTTCATTTCTAGTTGTGCTCGTTTCTAATTGTTCCTGGCCCCCTGGTGGCCAGGAAGAGGCCCAGGATGGAAGGATTAGAAATGAAAGGATCTTGGCCCCCCAAAAAGTCATAGAACTTTCGAAGATTTAGACATGAGCGGTGTGCACTGCAACCCCACAAATCTATTGCACCAGATCTGCTACAGTACCCCCTTTTCGCTGGGCCCCCTCTTGAGTTCACCAGCTACCTGTCTCGGCGTGGCTACCAAGGGTGCCTGGACCCCCTTCTCGGGCACCCTGGAATTTCCTCCCGGGCTGCCTCGCCGACGGCCCCGCGGGGCCCCCACAAGGCCCCCCCCCCCCCCAAGGGGCCGACAACGGTGAAACACGTTCCGCGGTACAGTGGAGGCCAGTCCACAAGAAACCTTCCGCGAGAAACCCAACCCTGAGACCCTGGGACGTCCGTCGATTTTCTACCTGGGAGCGTCACGGTTTCCACAGCAAACGCATCGAAACCCAAGAAACCCAGGGCACCCTGGAGGCAAGCAGGGTGTTCCTTGGCATGGGCCCCCACGGCACGTTCTCCGCGACGCGAGGGTGGCTGGGGATGACGGATGTGCTCGTCACCCGTGGGCACCTTCGTCTGAGCAGCAGCGTCGCCCAGCTCCCGCAGCAGCTCCAGCGCGTCGGAGGCGCTCTGCAGCGCCTGGGCCCACCTGCCCTCCGCGAGGCAGGCGTCCGCGACGCGCTGCAGGGCGGCGGCCTGGGCGGGCCTGTCTCCGGCCGACCTCAGCCTGGCCAGCTCGTCCTCGGGGGGGCTCGACAGCCCACGAGGCCGTGCTTCCCGTCCCCCCCGTGGAACCCACAGCTACCTTTAAGTCGGGCCTGTCCCCCAACAGGGGGATTTTGGGCGAAGAATTAAACGACCCCAAACGTACACCAAAATGGATAAACAAATAGCCCCAAAATAGTCCCCATACTATTTTTTTACTACTTCTGTAGAGGGACAGGCCCGACTTAAAGCTACCTGCCCCTTCCTGGACCTCGAGCCTCACATCGGCGGCGTGCCCAGGGGGGGGTGAGACAGAGAGGGCCTTCTCAGAAGGCCCGGAAGTCCCCCGGCCTTCTGAGAAGTTTTCTGAGTCTTCCCCGATTCTCACGAAGGGCTGGAGGGCTTCTGAGAAGTCCCGCCGCCTTCTGAGAAGGCCTTCTCCTTCTCACTTCCCCCCCCGCTCGCCGCCGATCAAACCTCGACGCGAAGGCGATCGGAGCTTGTTTTGGTAGACTCCGGCAAGTTTACTTGCACGGACGGGAGGGGCTTGAACCTGAAGTAAGCCACAACCGACTCGCACGTGCGGAAGCCACGCAAGCCGAAAGGCACCTGCACGCCAGTAATTATTCGCCTGAAGAGGGGCGAGATAAGGGGGGGGCGGCGGGGGCGAACGCCATGAAAGTAAACTTGCCCGAATCTGTAATCCTAAAAAAGGCTCCGCGAGGTGGATCGGGCCTCGAACTGCTTGGGCCTCCCGCGTCCAGGGCGAGCTCGACGGCGCCCCGGGGGTCGCCGGCCTCCCCGTCGGCCGCGCGCGGCCGCGCCTCCTTCCAGCAGCACGCACAAGAGGGCAAAAAGGGGCCGCCGCCCCCACCAGGAAACGGACCCCCGCCCCAGACATGCTCGCGTCTTGACCAACAACGCGACGTGCAGTGGAGGCTAGTCCACAGGAAGCCGTCCACGAGAAGCCCAACCCTGAGACCCTGGGACGTCCAACGATTTTTGGTGCGGGAGCGTCACGCTTTCCACAGCAAAACCCTCGAAACCCAGGGCACCCTGGAGGCAAGCAGGGTGTTTCTTGGCATGGGTCTCCACTGTACCATTTTGGGCCCGTTTTCCGCCTGTGGGGCCCTCGCCAGGCCTCGGGAGCGTCAACAAAAAACAACTCGGGATGCAACACCGGCCCTGGGAAAGTGG